TCTGGCACACCCATAAACTCAGATGGCCAAATTCAGGAATGGGATAGCCCTGCGCGACAGTGAGTATCCATTATCTGACCGAAGGCAATCGAACATCCATTTAGTCTCTCGCGGCAGAGTGTATTTATGTGATCAGGAGATGTCCATAATCGTTACCAGTGAACTGGTGATAGAGGTTGAACCGTGTTTGTCACTTTTTCTCACCTACTCAACACAGCACCCGTATGAAGTGTGAGATTTAAATGACCGTCCAGAGAAGATGTAGTGATTCAATTTACATTAAATGGTTAGAAATGAACTGTAAAGTAAATGAATCTTGAATGGACATTACTTAGGCCTACCGTACCATTCCATCGAACCTTAGTTGCAATGATCAACTCAACTCCTCAACCAGTCACACTCATTTACACTAAAGGGTGTTTATTTTTGCTTCAGAGAGTTGAGTTCATTTATGTCCAAAAAGATCTGATTGAATACCTTATGATTCAACAGGCTGAACACCCAAATTATTGTAATGGATGAGTTCCTTTGTAAAAAAACCCTTCGCAGAACACGTTTCACCAACGCTTACGCTGGTTAGAATGTTCAAACTCTTTCTCCAATGTTTATACTCAAGGATGAAACCAAACATGTCAGTAGTCAAACCTAACCAAAAATCGACATCATTCGGATTTCCGGATGAGAAGTTATCCACATTGTGAAATTAAACTGCAGTGATCACAGTCCACAAGATAAGGCATTCCCTTGAGCGACACGTTACAGTTTTCGGAACACTGTGATCAATCAAGCTTCAAGAGTGACGTCAGCAAAGCGCTTACGTGCCACAGTGTCTGGACTACATAATACATACGTCGATTGTATCAGCCAGTCAACAACCGTGCGGCACAGGCAGAAGCAAGACAACGGCAGAAATACTGGAACACGATTGGCAGAGGACTGGATGACCAATGAGTTTCTTTTGCACATATGGGCGATGGTGGCCCGGTGATTACGTCACCAACTTTCCACCTCGGGGGACGTGAGTTCGAACCTCACTACCACCGCCTGACTTTCCCCATGGCAGCCCTTTGATTAGCCGCTTGCGCCTTCCTGAAAATTGTGTAAATAATAAAAGGAATAAAAGGAAGTAACATAAAAAAAATTATTTAATCCCTCCTATTTCTTTCAATAAACGAACCACTTCTCTTTAAGCCTTTTCCTCATGTCTCGGTTACCCGGGATATTGCGTTGAAGTACCAGTGTGATCCAGTGCTGACGTAAAATCCGTGACCGTTAATCACTGATCCGTATTCTGTGATTCGTATTCCGTCTTCACTGCGTACAATTTCTACTATTACTAATACTACTACTACTACTACTGCTAATAATAATAATAATAATAATATTACTACTATTGCTACGCAACGACGAAAGATAGTAACTTTTCTGGTACTTGATCATGTGAACTTCCAAATTCATTTTCTTGTACAGTTTAGCGAAAGCAGAACATTATTAGTTGTTTTTGGCTTTTTGATTCGAAACGTTCTTGTCAACCTTATCGTTCAACTTTATTGCTTGGAAGAATGCTGATGGTATTGTGATCGGTTGCCTATCCTCTATTTCAGACAGTTTCTGACAGAATTCACGATTCGTCTGTGACTCTTTTCCTTGTACTTAACATCAACAAGTGCATTGAAGTTCCATTTAGTTGTAAAGCCGGGCACCGTTATCTTTCTTTCGTTTATAATCTCTTGATCTTAGAGTTAACAATCAAGACATTCCGAAATCGGTATCTGTTAAATGCCTTGGTATCACCCTAACCCATAACCTGTCCTGGTCTGCTCATGTTATCGCCGTTTTCACAAAGTTCTTTTTATGCTTACAGGTTCAGGAAAATGGACGTATCACATAATCTTTTTTTGAATTTGTGATTGCCTACATTCTTCCACACTGGCTATACTGTTCCCCGATTTTTATCCCTGGACTGAATGAAAAAGACTTCACTTTATTTTCGAGATCTCGCAAACTTTTCTCCGGCTACAGTGGAGTTGATAGAATTGTTTTAGTTGATTTCTTTATTTTCACGCATCTTGACGCTTGTAATACATTTATAGACAGGATAACACAAGCGCACTGTCTGCACTGAAATTTCGTGAAAACCCTATCAAATCCCCGAACTCGCTTCAACCACCAAATCCTACCTGCGCGGACTGATTCTCCTGCGGTGATTCTCTGCCAACACTTGGGCAGCATCAGATTCGGAACCTATCCCGAAAATCACACAACCGATAGGGTTCATTTAACGATCGGTCAAATGGTTCAGCCACAACAAGGGACCGAGTGCTTGCCCAGCTAACCCGAGTGAGAAACCACACCTTGTTTACAGCCGTAAGTCTCAGGCAGGTCCAGTTAATTTGGAATGTGCAGCACACGGATAGACTGGACGTACCAACAGGAACAAAACCTACAAGCCGTTAATCAGACAGTCTCTTGTTGGGGTGAGAGATTTGAAGCGCCGTAGATCGCGGAATATGATCCAATCAGATCGCATTAGAGGGAATTTACGTGTTTAAGGTCATGGGTGAGAGGAACGAGACGACGGTAAACGATGGTGCAATCACACTGTATAGAAGCAGTGGAATTCCATACCTTGCTCGTTTACTGGTTAGTTGTCAGACTGTTCTCATCCACCTCAGGGAACATCTCTTGCACTAATCTTTCTCTTATTTAAATGAAAAATGCCCATTGCCACACTGAAAACAAAGTCCGGTAGGCGAAACCAGCTGTTTTACGAGAAATTCATCAACGGGCCATTACAATTATATACGGTTATTTGGGCTCGTCGATCTGGTTTCGATCGCATCAGACTAAGTACAGAGTGTATGCTAGGATTGTTTACCTGATGCTCATCTCGATTAGTTCGTTCGTGCGTCCCCCGGGGGTGGAGTGGATTTCTTCATTCGAGGTCAGGGTAACGCTAGAGCCCGAACGAACTGCTTTTGGTAGCACAGGGGGGGGGATTCAATGTTTGGATAGCTAGCGCCTCGGCTATGCATAGAATGATAAACCGAAAGCGTTTTGGCAGAGATGATTGCGAGTGGCAAGTCGTGCGGAAAGCATAATCAACATTGATAGTGTACCGTGTCTCCAGTATATGTTAACAGATAGCGCTTTTCACCGTCCTAGTTTCACCGTGTCTCAACCAGCGGGGGTGTTCTCGTATCCTCTTTGATAGCTGCCTCGTAGTCCGGCCGATATATCTCGCTCCACTTGAGCAAGTGAACGCGTAGAAGAATTGTAGGTTGTAGAATTGTACTCTCGAGTTTACCCATGAATATGTCCGCCAAACGTGGTCCCAGCGGAGATCCCATTGCGACTCCGTTCGTTTGTTGGTAGATGCGACCATTGAACAGGAACTGGACGCCAAATGTGCACCGAAGTAGGTGCTCCTTCAGAGTGGGAAGGGGTATTCCGGTTTCCAAGTGGTTTTCTGCTATGTATTCACACAGGAACTCGCTAGTCTCTAGAAGTGGGACATTCGTGAATAGGGAGGTCACATTCAGTGAGTACATTGTTTGTGATGAAATGTTAATGTTTTTGATCTGTTCAACGAATTCGAATGTGTCCTTCAAACTGTAGGCGCAAATTCGTTGTCTGACGGGTTCCAGTAATCGCACTAACCATTTGGCCGTTGCATGATATGGGGAGTTCGATACATCCGAGATTGGTCTTACTGGTAAATCCGGCTTGTGTACTTTTGGGAGGCCATATAAATGTGGTATTGTCGAGCCTTATGGTTTTAGCAGATCAAAATTTGCCATTGATATGTAGTTGCTTTCTTTCAGGGATTTCAAGCACTTTGCCATTCGCTGTTCAATCAATTCTGTTCTGTTTTACTTCCCCGTATCCTTTCGAAATTTACTCCCGTCTGATAGGATGGCGTTCATTTTCTCTAGGTAATCCTCTGTTTTCAGTAGAAAAATCCCGGCTCCTTTGTCTGGTCTAGTAATAAGTAGTTCCCGATTCTGTTTCAACTCTTTCAGTTTCTGTAGATGTTCGATGTCAGGATACTTCGATGTTTCTGTTTCTGTTTGTGATTTCGTTGTGCACAGTTGACCAGCGTGCTTTTCAAAATATCCAGGTCCTCACTGGAGACAGGTGTTAGGTCCGTCGTTTGGTTATACAGGCTCTCGACTTGCACGTCCACTTCTAATTTGTCTGTTCTCCGTCTTGGGCAGCAAAATTTTGGTTCCAGCGATAGAGTTTCAATTATGACTCAATCTAGGTTCATGTCTGAAAAATTGTGCACACATCCATTCAGGGCTGATTCGGAAAATGACTGACAGGCTTGGATTTCGAAACTCAACGGAATAGTTTGAGCCGTTTCTTTGAGAACACTTTGTGACTACATGATTAAGCATCGATTGGAACATAACCTTTTCTTCTTCAACATTGAGTCTGTGCTAGAGAATTTCAACGCAAGCCACAACTCAATCAAATTCACTATCGAGAAAGAATACAACGACCGAATCTCTTTCCTGGATGTACAGCTTTGTGCCTTTGACATAAAAGAGAAATTTGGTGAGATGCCTATCTATGAGAGCTTGGAAACTTTGCTCTCCCAATGCGATAACCGAAGAACTTGAACACATCAAAAAATTTTTTTCGAGGGAACGGTTATCCGGATAATTTCATAGATAAGCATCTAACGGACATACCCGCGCAACCGGTTGTACACACAGTCAACAAGAAACCACTCTACCTGCAACTGCCATTTCAAGGTGATAACACGGCTGAGTGGCTTACACGACGGATCAATTTAAGCGTTGCGTCAAACGTTTACAATAGCCGAACTACGAGTGAATTTCACTACGTTCTCGGCAATTCATCTACACCTCAAAGATAAACTGCTGTTTAGCAATGTTCTACTTAGGAAATCTTCTTCTTCCTTTAGTGTATCTGGAGAACAAATGTTTCTCGCCCGATGAAATAGGGTTCTCACAAGCCCACGTTTGTAAGTCATGGGGGGAATGAAGTGGAATAAAGGTCAATCTGCACTTGTATATATAGTTCACTGAAAACCACGTTTGTGTGGTTGAAATGCAACTGGCAATGCATGGCCGAAATCACATTTTACGACTGCAATTGTTTTCAGGATAGAACCGATGTGAATTGGCGAAATAACTCAATGGTTCTCTGTACAGAAACCGCTGTCAACCATGACTTAATCCCTTTGGTTTTTCGCTTGCGCAAAAATGGTGAAGTGCCAAAGAATAACTGATTTCTCAAAGTGATCTCTAAATGCGATTATTACGGCATATGGTACACTAAACGTTTGTTTAACCATTACCGGTATAACTTTCATCAATTGAGTTGAGCATCCTTTACTATTTCCAGGAGGAAAACTGTTCAAC